CCACCCATTAGCCTTTTCCCCCCCCCCCCCCCGCCCTCAAGTAAGGCATTTACCGGCATCCGTGTTGACTTTGGAAAAGAAGGATCGTGATTTTCTGACGGCGTTGTGGTCCCTCAGGTGCCCGTCTTCACCCGCCGGTCAGCGGTCACACAAATGAGCCGGCCGTCGCAGCCTAAAGTCACGTCATCGGACCCCAACGGCGTGAGCGTCATCCAGAGTCAGAGCCGCGCCTCGGCCGCCCCCGCCCTGCCGCAGCAGGTCCCTCAGCTGGTGCCCGCCCAGCCGTCGTCCCCGGGCGGCAAGGCCGCCGCCCCCGGCAAGATGAAGAAGGCGCCGGCGGACAAGGACAGCGACGAGTACCGTCAGCGGCGCGAGCGAAACAACCTGGCGGTGAAGAAGAGTCGCCAGCGCAGCAAGCAGAAGGCCATGGACACGCAGCAGAGGGTCAACCAGCTCAAGGAGGAGAACGAGCGTCTGGAGGCCAAAATCAAGCTGCTCAGCAAAGAGCTGAGCGTGCTCAAAGACCTCTTCCTGGAGCACGCCCACAACCTGGCCGACAACGTGCAGCCTCCCTCCGGGAACCCCGACGCCAGCCCCGCCCCCAACAACCAGTGAGCCGGCCGCTCGCCTCGCCGCCGCCTTCGTCCGCCGGCAACCAGACACCGTGGGCCGAGGCGCGGCGGGACCGAGCCGCCCACTTTTCAACGCGTCTCCCCGTCGCCAAACTTTTCACGCGTGAGCTCCGCGCTTCCTTTCGTCTCGGTTCCTGTTCCTGCCGGCGAACGTTTCGACACCTGTCGGCAGGTTGGTCTCGATGCCGGTGTCGAGGCGGCCCTCGGCTCGTCGCGCCCGATTCCCGTTCTTGACTCGAGGTTCTCCAAGTCGGACCGGAGGCGTAGCGTCTGCGCTTTTGGCTCCATCCGGGTTTTGACCCGAGATCCTTCGAGACCCGTCGAGCGCTTGGATTTGGGAGTTTCGGCTCGTGAGCCGAGATTCCGCGGCGTCGACGCCTAACTCTCGTCTCGGGACCCGAAGGCTCTTGCGCTTCGGACTCTCAAGTCTTGGCTCCGCCCCCCTCGCTTCTCCATCCTCTCGATTCTGGTTCTCGACGGAAACGCGGTCAGCTCTTGAGTCCGGTCGCTGGATTCTTGAAGCGGAACTGTGGACTTTTGACTCCGGGCTTTCGATTCTCCTCTCGAGCCTTTCTCCTCTTCCTTCGGGATGTTCGACTCGAGTGTGTGAACTCCAGGCTCTTGGTGGCACACGTTAACTCTCGACACGGGTTCTTTTGACCGCGGACTCCCGACTCTTGAGTCCGGTCTCTCGACTCAAGGCGCTCCTGAGCGTCGACTCCAGACCGATGACTGCCGAGTCTTGAGCCAACGCTGTCTGTGTTGTTGATGACGCCCGACTCTTGACCGGGATACGGTCAGCGCTGTGAGGTGATTCCGGAATGAACATTCTGGATTCTCAACCGTTGACGATGGACGCCCGACTCTCGACTCTTCGTTCTAGGTTCTGGGATCTCAACTCCAGCGTCGTCATTTGAGACCCCGTAATGGCGCTCTTTCTCTCTCCTTTGTGGACTTTGCCCTCGAAACGCCGATCCCGGATTCCGAACTCTTGGGCTCTTGAGCGCGTGTTCGCGTTTTTCATGGCTTGGGCTAAGAGTTGATGTTAACTGGCATGCTTGGCATCACGCTGAACATGCGGTCACTGTTCCAAACCTCCGTTAAATTTCAGTTTATTAGCATGTTCTCCCTAGCATGGCTAATGCTAAAGTTTATTAGCATGTTCCTTCCCCCTGAAAATGTCTCACGTTAAATGTTCATGAGCATGTTCTTTTCCCTAGCATGGCTAACACTAAATATGATGTGGTGTCTTTTGGGTTTTTTAGTTTTGTGGCAACGGCGTGACAGGCTCGGTTACGATGGCTTCCACTTGACTTTGTTTGATGCTGCGCTCCTTGCAGATCCTCGTCAGGCTTTCATCAAATGAAACGTGCTCAAATTAGACCAACAACATCCAATCTTATTTATTGAGGCAATTGGAAAGAAGATTTTTTTTCTCATTGATCTTTTTGTGCTCTTGAGTGAAACGATAATAAAATCCTGTTGGGTGGACATTTGCATAGTTTTGAATGAATGTATTTTTGTGGGAGTCGAGTCTGTTCGAATCCGGGGTCCGACATGACTGGAAGTTGTTTCCCAAGTCGCGTGGTCATTGTCACGCGTCACGCGGCGTTGCCAACAAACAAAGAAAAAGTGGACTCGAAACCCAAGACTTACGACTCTCCCCTCTCGAGTCTTTTGACTTTGGGCTCGACACTTTTCTTTGCAGTGTCTGAACTCCCCAAGAGTTTTGATTGAAGGCTCTTGACCGTAGACCCTTTTGATTCGATGCCCTTAACTTCTCCCGATTCCAGACTTTCAGCCTTTAGATTCCACACTCGACTGTTTGGGGTACGAGAGTCGTTTGGCCTTTTAACCCTTGACGTCATCGGCGATCATTTCACAAATGCAATTTGTGTCTGTAACTTCGTGTCTTTTTTTTATGCTAGGTCAAAGGCAAGGCCCGGGGGCCAGATCTGGCCCGCCACATCATTTTATGTGGCCCGCGAAAGCAATGAAAACATGGCAAATTCCATGAAGCTTGCTAAAATATGGACCAAAATTTCAAATTCTCACATGTAATAAATGAGAGAGACGTTGTAAGCATTTTTTTGTTGCCAAACACCCCATTACAATCACTTAAACAATCGTTCCCGAAACTATTTTTCTTGACTTCTTGATATGATTTTAATCATAATGGCCGTCCAAGGAAAATGGGACCTAAAATGTGCCCCGCGACAAAAAGGACTTTGAAACCCCTGCGCTAGGTAAAGCTGGCAATATTCGCCATTGCGCCATGACGTCAATTCGGAAAAACCGAGGAAAACTCATTTTGGGAACAGGGCCGTCCTTGGCCGTGTTGCCGAGGGAGCGGCACCTTTTCATCTCTCCTTGGCCCGGTGATGTCATTCAACCGAGGGGAAGGAAAGGTGGTGAAACCATTCCGAGATTGGACTTTTCCGAGAGCGCCGCCCCGTCTGACGATTCCACATCGGAAGTTGTCTTCCCAGGTGAGACGGTGGTCTTGACAGGAACGTCCAAAGTGGTCATACACACCTTCACAATAAAAGTCTGCCAATCATTGAAACGGGCAAACAAAAATGCCCAACGCGCGTTGGAGAGGAAATATTCAAGGCGCGCAGTCCTTCGCGCTCCCGATAGGCTCACCGGGCCAGGGGGCGGGGCTAGCCTTTCCGCGTCTTTGGTGTGCTCTATCGGCAAACTCCAGGAACCCGATAACACAATCGCTTCACGCACACGCATGAAACACATTGGCGCGCACGCTCTCTTGTTTGAGGTCACGTGGGCTCGAGGTCACCCAGTGTGCGTGTTTGCTTCGTCCGCGCGGATGCGTTCGGTTCCAACGTGCGCACGGATGCCGTCTGGGGTCGAGCGATGTGTGCGGAGGGTGAACGTGCGTCCGGGGGGGGGGGGGGGGGGGGGGGCGGGGGGGGGGGGGGGGGGGGGGGGGGGGGGGGGGGGGGGGGGGGGGGGGGGGGGGGGGGGGGGGGGGGGGGGGGGGGGGGCGTTGGAGAATTGTTCTCGTCGTTCATCTTGTCCGTCTCGTTGTTTGCCAGAAGAATGGAGGCAAATGTCACCTCGCCCGAGGGGGGGGGGTTAACCTCTGTCCTGGTCGAGTGGGGTGTCTAGACCCCCCCGCAGACGGCGAGCGCAGCGCTCTCGGCCAAAGTGTCGACTCGGCTCGCAGGTCAAAGGTCATGTCCTCGGAGTCTCTTGCGTGGCCTTTGCGAGCCGCAGTCAATCACGTCGCGTCTGCCTTTGGAATGCTGCAAACTTGGAAAGTTACGATGCCGCCGCGCGTTTGAATGAGCCCGAAGTGCCCTCTGCTGACCGGAGAAAATGAAAAAGAAGCATTTCCAACACGGAGCTTTTTGGAAATGCGGCGCTGTCCTCGCACAAGAAGGTCGACGTTCGTTTTGACTCGAATGATAAAAGTTGCAAGGACATCACGAAAAGCTTGGCTGCGCGAGGGAAAACATTTCAATGGACCTTTGAGAGTCGGCTTGCTTCACCGGCGGACTTGGACGCCGGGATCCATTTCGGCGTTCGGCAACTCCGAGACTCCAGTTGAATGTCTACGTTTTTTTTTTATTTTTTATAATATCACAACTTAATGTTGTACGCAGTCCCACACGTGCCATAAAAATACGACTTCAAGCCCAAGGCAAATTTTTTTTTTTTGACAGGTCACGTGTGGGCTGCATCGAAACGACGTCCTCACGTGACCAGTTTGTGTGCCACGAGATTTGTCTAAGTTGATTGAATGTGCAGCCCGTGATGGTGCAGTCGTGGTTAGTTCCCTGCGGTGTGGCCGCAGCAATCCTCGTTCGAATTCTGGTGCAATGACCATTTCCTCTCCTCCCACATTTCCGAAAACATGCACGACAGGCTGATGGAACACTCCAAATTGTCCCTGGGTGTGAGTGTGAGCGCGGATGGTTGTTCGTCTCTGCGTGCCCTGCGATGGGCTGGCGACCGGTTCAGGGTGTCCCCCGCCTACTGCCCGAAGACGGCCGAGATAGGCCGCGGCGCGCCCCGCGACCCTTGTGAGGACAAAGCGGTCCAGATAACGGATGGATGGATTTCAAGCGCGCCGAACCCCCGAAGAGGCAGTGTAATGGACTGACCGCAAGAGGACGCTCTCGTGTAACTTTAGACCTTGGATTTGACGGCCCCCCCCCCCCACCACTCCCAAATGTTTGATTGAAATTTTTATGGTGAACATTTCGATTAGTTGATAAGTATCAAAATAAATCACCGCCCCAAATGAAACCAAACAAAAACGTCTTGAAGAAAACATAAGGATGAATAAACTTCTTTCATCCATCCATCCATCCATCCGTTTTCGAATCCTCTTTCGCTACGAGGGTCGCGGGCGTGTTGTCTTCGAGCAGATAGGCGGGGTACAGCCTGAACCGATTGCCAGCCAATCGCAGGGCACACAGAGACAAACGACCATCCGTGCTCACACTCACACCGAAGGACAATTTCGAGCGTTCCATTAACCTGCCATGCATGTTTGGGGAATGTAGGGGAAAAAAAAACGGAGGAGCCGGAGAAAACTCATGCAGGAAGGCCAGAGCCAAATTCGAGCCCACGACCTCTATGCTGTTCAGACATTCCCTTTATTTCTAAACCTTAAATGATTCACGAGGTTTGCTGGAGGTTAAAATGTTTTTCTGATTAAGATTAAGATATTCTTTATTTGTCTCACACTGGGGAAATTTACAGTCTACAGCTGGGGTGGGCAATCCCAGTCGTGGAGGGCCGCTATCCTGCATGTTTTCCATCTGTCCCTTCTCCAACACACCTGATTCAAATGATCAGATCATCAGCAAGCTCTGTCGAGGCCTGAACAATTGAATCAGGTGTGTTGCAACAGGGACAGATGGAAAACGTGGAGGATAGCGGCCCTCCAGGACTGGGATTGCCCACCCCTGGTCTACAGCAGCAAATTTGGGGGGTAGAAAGAAGATAAACAAAGTGTTGTTTGCAAGCACAAAATAAATGTAGATGAAGAGAGCTGTACACAGTTCAAGATAAGTGCAATATATATATATATATATATATATATATATATATACTGTATGTCCGTGGTCTCACGTTTTTTTTTTGGGGGGGGGGTTGGGGCGTGTGTTGGGGACGATCCTTTTTGCCTTAGGCATCAATGTGTTCGCTCCCACGTGACAGGAAGTGACGCACAGGAGCGCACGGGAACACGTGGAGCTCCAAAATGGATTTGTTTTTTCATGCCCCTCAGTTTTTATTTTGAAGGGCCAACGCGGAAGTCGTTGCTCTTCGTGCATTCGGCTTGTTTGGAGCTCAGTTTAAAGGCGCCGGTGTGAGCGGGCGTGGCGTCATTTTCCAATGTTGGAGCTCGCGCGGCCCACACGTCGAGTATGTCTGTGGTCACTTGCCGGGTCCAGTTCCTACTGGACCAGGATCCTTTCATCTGTACCAACTTTCCGGAACCTCGGC